CAAAGCCCGGAGGTCTACATGCCAGGGCGGCAGACCCTAGACTTGAGGTCAGAGCCCCGTTTCTGCCTGCTGCAGCCAGCCACCCAGAAGCCACCTAATCTGGGACCGGCAGAGACCCTGTCCGGACCTCCGGCCCCAGCTTTCCCTCGGCTCCCGGGGCTCCTCGGGTCCAGTCCCAGCATTTTGCCTGGCACGGTCTTGGCGCCATTGAAAAGGTATGTGCCCCAGATGCCCCAGCCCTCACCTCGGCGCCCTCGGCCCTCTTGGCCCAGGAGGTCCCCTCCCCTAGCAGGTTCTCACGGAAAGCTGGCCTTCCCTGCAGCTGGCTTAGCGAGAAGGCGGTGAGAGTCGTGTCAGCAGTTTGGAGGAGAAAGTGCGGGTTGATTATTGACCCACGCCTTCTTTCTTCAAATGCCACATCCGACCCGGCCGGTCTGAAGAGAAAATGCAGCCGAGCGGATTTTTGCGGTGGCTCTCACCTCCTACGCCGCCCGGCTCCCCCTTTCAAGTTGCGCTGCTGCAATATGCCATAAGGAGCAAGTGTTTGCTGTTTTGTGCTCTGTTTACAGCTTTGGGGCGCCGAGTCATAAATCTTGCCCAGCCATAAATGACAAAAACCATTGGTATGCATGAGGCCACCCTGGCCAGGAGTGCTTTTTGATTTCTCCCTTTTCCCTTGGCTTTGTTTTTGCTCTAAGGTGACACTTTGGCTCCCTGACAGTTTAAACATACTACTTATATTTTTAACACCTTCCTTTGAGAAGGACTGGCCGTTGACACCTTGGAATTGCACGAAAGCTCCGTTTCTCTCTTTGCCACACACATACCCTTGCAGAGTTCACTTCTGAATCTGGAGAGTTGAGGGAGGCATTAGAAGGGAGGGAGACCACACTCCTTCAAGTTGTGGCAATACTACCGGGCACTCTCGGGCCTTTCCTCTGCTTAGCGTCCCTGCATACCACTAATTAGCGGGGAAAACATAGACATCGTTGGCGTTGGGGTCAGAGTTTTATCTGTCGTTCTCTGTGAGCTGCCTGTCTGTACTGGGAAGTGGGCACCGGAAAGCTGGAGACCCAGGTTTCTAGGCACTCTAGTGTGTACCTGAGCCCAGAGCATCCCATTTCACTGCCTGGACTTTGTCCATTTCCCCCAGGCTCCTTCCCTCCTGGCTGCCAGGATTTTAAAGGTTTCTGCCTAAAAATATAACCAAAGACAGCCCAGTTGGATCTTGGGGAGGTCTCTTGAGAAAGGAAGCCCTACCTCTGCCCCCCAAAGATTGACTTTGAGGTTCTCAGACTGGGGGTGACAGATGTGGTAAAGTGCCCAAAGTCTGGGGAACTCTCCTCCTGGTTCTCTTTCCCCTTGCATCCCAACTGGAAGTGTCCAGGGCAGGGGTTACATGGTTTCTCAAATGGATTCCTAAGAAATAGAGCCCGGCTAGAGAGCCCCTTTGTGAGAGCTGTTTGTCCTCATTAACATAATTTTCCTGGACTTTAGTGACGCCGAGAAGCGAGGAGAGGGAGGGCGGTGGGGGTTGGGGGGAGGCTGCCCTCCTCCCGCCGCCGCCGCCGCCGAGTTCCCCCTCTCGCTCCTGTCCCTCCCCTCGCCTCAGCCCCATCCCCCACGCCGCCCCGCGCTTCCCCAGCCGCCTCGGCCTCCCCTCCCGCCCGCCCCCAGCACCCCCCACCGCACCCCCCGACCAGACGCTGCTCCGCGTGTAATATTCATAAGAAACATACCCAAGTCGGTGCCACTAGCCCAGGCAGAGCCCTGCGCCGCGCGAGCGCTTATCTCCGGGCCGCGGCTGCTGCCCTCGGGAAGGGCAGGGGGCGGGGGTGTGGGGGAGGGGTGGGTGGGTGGGGTGGGTGGGAGGGGGGGTCCAAGCCGCCCCAGTCCGCCCTGGGCGAGCCGTGCCGGAGCAGCGAAGCCACCACGCTCTGCGCCGCGGCGTCCGGGCCTTGGGGTCTCCCTCCCGCCCGCCGTCTCGGCTGATGCTGAGGGTCGGTGCCCATCCCGCGCCTAGGGGAGCCGGCCGGGCGGCCGAGCCGGGCCAGGGGCCGGAGCCCGAGCCCGAGCCCGAGCCTGCGCTCGCGGCGCTCGTCAGAAGTTAAGGTAAGCAGGGCCACAACCGGCCGCTCTCAGCGCTGAATGGCGGAGTTTACGTCTCGGTGATTTATGGCTGCAGACTTAAATCTCGGTTCAAGAAGAGTTCACAAGCCGGAGCTTCCTTCCCGGCAGTGACTGATACCCTTACACTTCGAGTTCAGGCCGCTTTCCCATCCCCGCCCCCACCTCTTCCCTCTCCCCTAGCCCAGCCCCAACTTTTCTGGGTTGGGGAGGATGGGAGGGGTGGGCAAGGGGACACGGGGGCTCTTACCCGATATTCCCGCTTAAACTCGGGGTGAGGGCAGGCTGAGGAAGGGGCGGGAGTGGGAAGAGGGAGCGGTGTCTGAAGGAAGGAGGTTGAATTTGGGCAGATCTTCCAGAAAGACAATAGGGCTTGCTTTCTGCACTCAATTTAGCCTCCTCAGCTCTCTTTCAGCTCTTGCACCTGGGGGTTATTGTCCAGAAACATCTTTTCGGAGGAATCTCCTCCCAACCCCAAGCCCTTGCTTGGCTTGGCGAGGGGGGGTTGTGCAAAGCAAGTTTCCAGACTGGCAGATCTCCAACTTCTTTACTAGGTTGCAAACTTTGGGGGCTGGGGTGGGGGCGGGAGGGGGGAAATGTGTGGGCCCCACTGTGGTTGTCTGCTGACCTCAAACAATAGGAAGGACTTTGGTGGGATCTCCGAGGTGAATTCATATTTTAAGTTTATGGGGGCTGTTGTATGCTCTTTGGTTTTTCATGGTATTTTTGTTATTTGCAAGACAATGCACAACTTGATGAAAAGACTTAAGTAGCAGGCCAATATAGTTTGTGATAATGGATTAGCAAGTCGCTTGAAATGTTGCACGTTCAAAATCACCTTAATTTTGTTGTATCTAATACCTTGCTGTTCAAGTGTCTGGAGTAATGTTCTTAACCTGACATTTTACACAAGCCTAGTATCTTAAAAATTTATAATGGCAGACATTAACACTGCCAAATGTAATAGGACCTATTTTCAGTGAAAGAACAGGAAACTGAGACATTCAATTGCTATTCAGTTTTAAATTTTATTTTATTCTTCGTTTATTTTCGATCATGGTATCTGTAGCTTCCTATCTATTTCCAAAATAGAAACAATACTCCAGGGCTCAAGATCACGCATAGTAACTTCAGATAATGGAAGCTGTAATTTTTAATTGAGGTTCTGGAAAATTAATTGTGCTTGTTTTCCAGATGTTGGTCAGATTGTTGGTTTAATAATGAAATCCAAAGAAGCCCATTATTAAAAAAATTATAATCATCATTGGTGGATGGTGTTTTCTAGTTAACAAAAGTGTCTGCTATTCCTAGAGAACTTGAATGACTCCAGGACTCAAATATACATAGTTGGGGCATGAACTAAACCATTTTCTTCAGGAATTTGTCATTGTATTTTTTTCTTAAATAGACTGTCATCCTGTGTGTGTGTGTGTGTGTGTATGAACTCACATGGAACTTTTCTCAGCTGAGAACCAGAGATTGACCATGCAAAGGTTGAAAGCAAAAATAAAACATAGATTTGACTTCTGCAAACTGCTTTCTAAGTAATAAATTTTAAAAAGGGGTTGAGAAGGCTTTCATTGCTTTTAAGATTTCCAGGGTTGACCTTTACTTGGTGTTTCTGAAGCAGGTAAATAGGCCAAGTAACAAATATCAACAACAACAACACACAAAGATCAGGGAACTCTGAACTCTGGCAGGATTTTATGGCTTGTGCTTCCATCCCTCGTCCGGAGCCAAATGACCCCCATACATCAAATTACATAGCAGTTTCTAAGACAGAACCTATTATCGTTAAGTTGGAAGGAGAGTTCAAGCCGTGGTCATGGAGATGAACGCTGGTTTTTCAGGTTCCTGGTGGGTTGTTTTTTTCTCTAATCCATCATGTTTTAACAGGTAGAATTTGATAGTTGCCCTGAATAACAGCACCTCGGAAAGTCCAAGGCAGGAGGGTCTGGGGACCTTTTGTAACAGGGGAAAAGAGGTGGGAGTGGCTTGCTGGGTCATGCCTGAGAAATAAGGAGAGGAAAGGAGTAAAGAACTGTCCAGGATTTGAGTTTGACTTGCTGGAGCGAGGTGTTGTTGGTCTCTTCCCACACAGGATGTTTCTTCTTAAGTTTTTTTCTCTCCCCTTCTTGGCCACAAGGGGCTCATTTGGAAGAGGTAGGTCATATCCCAGCGCAAGGGTAGATTAACTGCCTAACAAGCTCAGCTTCTCAAATCCATCCGGGGTAGAGTAGGGCAATTGCCTGAAAAATTTTTGTGCATACCTCTGTTGGGTGCTGGAAGATCCAAGACGGGGCTGGATGGGAAGTCACCCCGCGTCAGGGCTCTTTTGCCAAATATCAGTCCTAAAGGGAGGATTGGAGAACAAATTGGCAACCTATGCTCCCCTTTGCCCCCTTGCCCCTTCCCCAAGATCCTCAGAGGCAGGGAGTCGCGGGTCTCGCTGGACGAGGCCAAAGAACGGAGATGAAAGGACAACCCCAGTTTCTCCTTCCCTGGAAACGAAGGATCCCAGCCCTGTTTCTTTCTAGCCCATCAGCCTTTCTTCTTTTGGACTCCAGCTTTGGAGACCCGGCTTCCAGCCCTCGCTTACTCTTCTGCTCTCTCCCCGGAAAACCCCCAACTCCAGACGCAAGTTAAGCAAATATTTGTAGCTGCCAGTAAATTCCAGCGGCTTTTTATAGCGCGGCTCTCTGCGCCCGGGGCCAAGTCGTGCTGCTAAATATTGCTGACCACTTTTTCTTTTATGGCTTTCATGTCACTTAGCTATTGAGAGTAAGATGGATTTGCGCGGAGCCCTCACCGCGCTGCGATTCTCGCCCCCCAGGTCTGCGCGGGGCGGCCATTGGCGGCGGAGCGTCACGTGACCGCGGGGGCGTGCCAATGTGCGCCCTCACGGGTGTCAAGCCCCCGTCAGAGTGTGCGATCAAGATTGTGAAACAACGCGATGCAAAAAGCGACCTACTACGACAGCTCCGCGATCTACGGTGGCTACCCCTACCAGGCAGCCAACGGGTTCGCTTATAATGCCAGTCAGCAGCCGTACCCGGCCTCCGCCCCACTGGGCGCTGATGGCGAGTACCACCGACCCGCCTGTTCACTCCAGTCGCCTGCCAGCGCCGGGGGCCACCCCAAGGCGCACGAGCTGAGCGAGGCGTGTCTGCGCACCCTAAGCGGCCCGCCCAGCCAACCTCCAGGCCTGGGCGAGCCACCCCTAGCCCCGCCGCCCCAGGCCGCGCCCCCAGCTCCACAGCAGCCTCAACCCCCGCCGCAGCCCCCAGCACCCGCTCCTGCCGCGCCCCCTCCCCCCTCTTCAGTTTCCCCACCTCAGAATGCCAGCAGCAATCCCACCCCCGCCAGCGCAGCCAAGAGCCCCCTACTCAACTCACCCACCGTGGCCAAACAAATCTTCCCCTGGATGAAAGAGTCTCGGCAAAACACAAAGCAGAAAACCAGCGGCTCCAGCTCAGGTAAAGCAGTGCCTTCTGGAAGAGGGTCCTCTGGCCTGGCTCCCCCCCACCCCCACCCCCAAACCCTCTCCAGCCACAGCCAGCACGGTCTGGGACGCTGGAACATTTTCAAGAATTCACTGAGCCCCCCCCGTTCAAGTGGGGGGGGGTGTGACAGGACTCTGTGTGACCAGGAAACCCCAGAGAGAGACCTGATGGGAGTCTCTCTTGACTTCTCCAAGAGCAAGTGGGGCCTAGTGAGTTTGGAATCCCTTCTTATTCCACTCTTGGAGTTAGGACCTTTGGGGACAACAAACCTGAGCTCCACTCTTTCTTTTTAGCACAATTCATTTATAATGAAACCATGACATCCACTCCACACTGAAATGTGGCAGAATAAAAGCAGGCCTAGTCACCATCCAAGTGAGAATCAACGCTTTGCTTATAAGCAGAGCCTATTTTTAATTTTTGCTCCAGTAGATGGAGTGGCTGCTTTACCTCTGGGAAGGCCCTACTCAGACTCAGTACAGTGAAGGCAGTCAGAGATCTCCTGGGGGAGGGGATTTGGACTTGTCATGCTAATAGGAACCACATGGGTCTCCAGGAACTAGACTGGAGGACAGGCCCTGGGTCTTGGGCTTCCCAGCATCTTGGTTACCTTTTCTCCTGCCTTCTCCAGTTGCCAGTACTCTGCTCTAAGCCTAAGCATCTGGGGTCCTCCAGAGTCAAGATTTGGGAAGGGGGGAGGATAGGAGGGCGCAAGATTAGTGGATGAAAATGGGGAGGCTGCTTGATTAAATGAGGAACCCTAATTAATAGGACCCAGCATCAGGGGCCTGGGTCACCCCACCAGAAATTGGTACTTCCAGTGGGATCTCTTCCTTTGGGCGCGGAAGGCCTTCCAGATTGGGGCTTCCACTCTACCCTTCTCCACAGGGTAGACTAAGTAAGTGGCCAGTTGAGGCAACTGTCCAAACGTTCAGTCAGTGAAAGAGGGAAAGGTTTATTGAGTGTATATTAGGTGCCCCACATTCCAGTTACTGCAAAGGGAATGAAGATGGGCGACCTGCCCACAGGGAGCTTATAGTCTGACAGGCCTGAAGGATCAGTAAATGATTCAGAAAGTGAATAGTTCCAGGACAGAAATACAGACCAGGAAGGCAAACTGGGGGTTCTGCTTTTCTGTCCTTACCTCTCCCGCCTTGGGGAAGCTTATGACTTGCAACTTGACTGAATGGAGGGGCTAGCTACCCAGCTACTGGCACTATTTCCCCACCAGGAGAGAGGGCAGCACCTAGTTCCTCATCCTCTTTTCTGGGCCCTGACGGAGGGGTCTTGGGGCCTGGAGCAAGGAGGGGCCTGGCGCGGTCAGGGGTTAGGCGGGGCTTGGGGTAGCCCCTGATGGCTCCCTTCCCGTCTCCTTTGCTCTCTCCTCTGTCCTCGCAGGGGAGAGCTGCGCTGGCGACAAGAGCCCGCCTGGGCAGGCGTCGTCCAAACGGGCGCGCACCGCCTACACGAGCGCGCAGCTAGTGGAGCTGGAGAAGGAATTCCACTTCAACCGCTACCTGTGCCGGCCGCGCCGCGTGGAGATGGCCAACCTGCTGAACCTCACCGAGCGCCAGATCAAGATCTGGTTCCAGAACCGCCGCATGAAGTACAAGAAGGATCAGAAGGGCAAGGGCATGCTGACGTCATCAGGGGGCCAGTCCCCAAGTCGCAGCCCCGTGCCCCCCGGCGCGGGCGGCTATCTGAACTCTATGCATTCGCTGGTCAACAGCGTCCCATATGAGCCCCAGTCGCCCCCGCCTTTCTCCAAGCCTCCCCAGGGCACCTATGGGCTGCCCCCCCGCCTCCTACCCCGCACCCCTGCCAAGCTGCGCGCCCCCACCGCCCCCACCGAAGCGCTACACCGCGGCGGGGGCGGGGGGTACACCCGACTATGACCCGCACGCGCATGGCGTGCAGGGCAACGGCAGCTATGGGACCCCACACTTACAGGGAAGCCCCGTCTTCGTGGGGGGCAGCTATGTGGAGCCCATGAGCAACTCTGGGCCTGCCCTCTTTGGCCTAACTCACCTCCCCCACGCCGCCTCGGCAGCCATGGACTACGGGGGTGCTGGGCCGCTGGGCAGCGGCCACCATCACGGGCCTGGGCCAGGGGAGCCGCACCCCACCTACACGGACCTTACCGCCCACCATCCTTCTCAGGGAAGAATTCAGGAAGCCCCCAAGCTCACCCACCTGTGATGGTGGGCGCAGGGCTGCGCGCCAGGAGAGTCCCCCCGCCCCCCACCTTTCTTCTACCGTTTACTTTTTGTTTTGTTTTGTTTTAAGGTTCTTCCTGCCCTCCCTTTTTCCTCCCCCGCCCCCTCTACCTTCCCCCCACCCCGTTTTGTTTTCTTTGGTAACGCGTTTTTATAGTTTATGTGACGTAGCAATCTTGGTTGCTGGAATGGCCGTCAGTATCGGTAGCGATGTTTATCTCCTCCCACCCCTCGCTCGGCCGCTGGCCCTGCATCCTTTACCTTCTCTACTCTTTGATCAGAAACAGGGTATATGAACAAATTTTCTAGCCGAGTTCTTCAATGTGAATTTGTTCGTACATTATGGCTCCCGAGGGGAAGCAATTACTTTTTTTTATTTTTAGGTTGTTTTTTTTTTTTAAATTGCACTTCTTGTAAAGAGCGAGAAAAAAATCAAAGGCGCTTTGAAACAGGGGCTCCCTGTGCAAGGATGACTAAGTGTACGTCTTTCCGTGTGTGTATGCTGGTGAACAGTCAGATTTATTTATATTTTTTTTGCAAGCATTGAATAATCTAAGTTTTAAATATTATTTATCCCCATCCGTTCGTATTTATATTAAAGAAATTCTGTACCCTGATTGTTCAGAAGGTTTCTTGGGCCTTTTGTTCAATAGTGTATTGGCGTACATAGAAAAATTTTTATTTGAAAGGGAAATATAATTCCTTTATAAAAACGGTAATGATGCAATAATACCAGAGAGGATCCAGCTTTTGAAAACAGTGATTTAGGTTTGTAACATCCGACGAAACTGAAAAAAAAAAATCTGTAAACGTGAAAAATGCTAGATTTGTTTTGAGAGTTCTACATTCCTTGCTGCTCACATTCTGAGAAACGAAACAAATAAATAAATAAAGTTTTTATTCTGAATAATATCCGTGTTCAGAAGGGGTTCTTTGGCCGAAGATGGGGGTCTGCGTGGAATTCAGGCAGAGGCGAACTGGCTGAGCAGGCCGCGCGGCAAGCCTTCCAGCTCCGGAGTGGGGCCTGGCCAGGCGGCTCGCCTGGGAGCGCGGCGGATTCTTGGGAAGGCTGCAGGAGCTCCTGGAGGCGAGCAGCTCTGGAAACGCCGAGCGCCAGCCCGCTGGGCCGCCTGATTCCCAGTTGCCAAGGAGGGGCCTGCGCGGGCGCAGGGGCTGCGGACTGCTGAGTGCGGGAGAAACAAAAGGCAGCCAGCGCGAAGCGCGGCGGGGACTCACAGGTGCCCGAGAGGCCCCGCTGGGGAGTAAGGCAGGGCTGTCTTCTCCAAGATCTTCCTCCAGGTCAAAGCGGACCAGCCAGTGCTTTAACCTTGGGAATCGTCAGCCGCGCGGAGGATGCTGAGCATTTCCGGACTTTCTGTGGATGCTCTTCGGTCCCTGATCTCTCCAGGAGGAAAGAATGACTCCTAAAATCGCCCCTGGGAGCTAGGCAGCTCGAAGGAGACACAGCTTCACCCAGGTCTCCAGCAAAAGAAAGGCTGAACTCCCAGGAGCCTCCCCGCGCCCTTCCCTGGACTGCTGGAGTCCCAGCTTCGTCTTCATCCCGGAATTTAGGATTTGGCATCCCCTGGATTTATTTCCTCTCCTTCATCCCTCCTCACTCTCCTTTTATGGCCCCAGAGGGAGGAGGAGAGAGAAAGGAGATTGGTATCTTTCTAATAAAAATGCAATTTTATAAGTACTTATTTCATGTGATGCTGCAGGAGCTAAACATTACATTTCTACTCCTGGATTTAAGATAGGGCTGCCTACTGACTGGCTGGCAGATGCAAAAGCAGGCACAGGAAAGGGAAATATTTTTATTTTCAAATTAAAGAATTGCTTGGAGAAGGAACCAAATTCAGAAAGTGAAAACCTCAGAACTGTATCCCCATCAACATCCCCTTTCTAAATTGGAAGTGAGAAACCACCTGCGTCTCGGGATCAGAAGCATCTGATGTGAGAAATAAATCAGTCTTCTCCCTGGGTTGTATCTTTCAGAGACAGAGGTGAAAAATGTCGCCATTTTGTTTGCGATCCCAAATATCCATCATCATGGCCTCTATCTTTCCCCTGAGAAGCTCCCTCAGATGATCTTTAGAAATAGGCACTGGAGCCATTTTGGGGTATCTCCTCGGTTCACAGGAGCTGCTCTTAGGGAACCTTCTCACATTTTAAGAAAAAGAAAAAGGCTTGGAAGATGCAAAGCCAGGCAGCTATAGAGATCTGGGTGTTTATGTCACAGCCAGAGATGCTTCTCCCACATCTGTTCTGGGGCTCTTGATACACACACATATATATTTTTATTTTAAAAGAGTTTGGGCTATGGAAGGAGTAGATTTGCTCCCCACCCCACTCCAACCTCCCTGCCGAAATATGGCGCACTTCAGAAATGCGGAGTCTGGAAAACCAGTCTTTGTGAGGACTGGAGCTTCCGCCCTTTGGTTGTTCAGATCTGAACTGAACAGGCTAAACAACCACAGAAGTGTTCTTATGGGTAATAATTTTACAGAAGTATATAAAATTACCTTGTAAAATAAGGGAGACTGGAGAGAGAGTGCAAGAGAGAGAGCGAGAGCGAGTGAGCGCTATCCATTCACAGATGAAAATCTTTCAGAGATACCACTATTTGAACCCATTTCTAAAATCTGCTGTTTAGCTGAGAGGGGACTGGTTTGGAGGCATCCTCCTTCCCTCAGGGCACAGATTTTTAAATGAGATTCCAATACGATTCACCGTATCTTGGCAGTCAAAACATTCATTTTAGGTTTCAAAGAGAAAATATTGGTCTCACCTCCAGCTTCAAAGATATTAAAAATAAGTCCTTATTAAAATATTCCTGAGTTAAAGTAATAGATTTGGGGAAGATTTCAATGTTGAATGGCCAAAAAAAAGGGGTTTGCTTCCAGATGGTATTTGAATTAAGGCCGCTGAGGCGAGCAGAAAGCTCTCACCCACGCAGCCCCTGACAAAGCCTCAGCGATATGGGGGCAGCGCTTCTCCCTCGCCATAACTCCCCCTCCCCTTAACCCCTCAGTATTATTTCTGGTAAAAGCAAATGCCAAAAGTCACTATCCCAGAATGTGCAAAAGCACCTTTCCTAAAAGCAGCCTTATAACTCTTCCTGCTGCCAAAACGATATCTTTAAAAAGACTAGTTTTCCTTGTTTACTTGCGTTTCCTGCTCTCCTCTTTGCTCGGCCACATTTGATCTTGGAAAGAGCTCGAAGCTGAAATGTGTTCTTAAGGGCCAGAAGCTGTCAAGGCTTTTGGTGAGCAAGATTGATCGCACCCAGACTTCCTTCAGAGCTTTGTTTGGAATAAAAGCAAGAAAACTGAAAAACCTCACATTTTCCAAAATAGCATCTCTATCTGTAAGGCGATGCTCTGGGCTAGTCAATGATGGAGGCCACTTTATATCTAATTTCCACCCAAGCCCCCTTTGATGCCGGCCTCAGAAATGGAGTCCTAGCCTTGTGCCGTGGTCAGCCTTTCTTGTTTTCTACGTAGATTTTTCTCCCCCACCAACCTCTCTCTCCCTGGCCATCAGAATGATTTATTTTCCTGCCACGGATGCCTGCCGGCCTGGGGGAGTCTGATCACTTGGTCCATTTCAAAGGAAGCAAAAGCGAATCATCATCCTCAGGGTTTGAGGGAAAAGAGATACCTTCAGATTTCTCTCTCAGCCTCCTCCCCTCTTTCTGGCTTGGTGGATTTTTTAAAAGTTATTGTTTGGTACCTAAAGGTGTTATCTTTTGAACCCTCCAGCACAGTCCAAGATGCCCTCAGTCTCAAGTCTCCGAATTGGAAAAAAAAAGAGAGCGAGAAAAGAGAACCTTTACAATTCCTTCTGAGGTTGCCCTCTCTCACCTGCGGTGCTTGTTTCCCACAGCAGAACCTGAGTGCAAACATCCCTGGTGGCCAAGGAGCAGAAAGGTGCGGGAGACAATTGGGGCTGCCAGGGAGCACGCTTTGCCTCTGAACCCACAAGCCCCCAGTCGGAGCGACAAGGACCAGGAGAAAAAGGAGACGAAAAGAGACAGGAAAAAAAAAAAAAAAAAAAGAGGAACAAGCACCTTCTCCCTCCCTGCTGCTAACTTCCAACAGACTTCCTGGAAATCAGAAATACTCACCGCACCCGAGCCCTAAGGGTATGAAACCCAGAATGCCAGGAGCTGCAGGAGCCTGCTCGGGGTGGCATTGCTTTGGCTGGCCGCCGCCCTGGCTACAGGGATTTGGACACATGGACCTGGGGTTGTTGTCTTGCTTGGCACATGCATCTATCTTTCTCCAGCCACTCTTGAAAAGTTGATGGCACAGGAAGGTTGGGAAGCTTCGAGAGCCGCCTCCCGTCTTCCGCTTCCCTCTGGAGCCAGATGCATAGCTGCCTTGGAAAAGCCGGCTAACAATGGGCCGGGGTCCGGGTCCGAGGGGCGCGCACTCGGAGCTGGGCTTTGGGAGGGGGGCGAGGGCATGCAGGAGAGGTTTGGCGAAGGAGAGGAGGATAGAAGTGAGAGGGAAGGGGAGAGGGGAGAAGAGGGAAAAAGAGGAAAAGAGGGAAAGACAGAGAGGAAGGAAAACAGGGATCACTTCTGAGATCCAGGAACTGGTTTTAGAAAAGGGGGAGGAGGAAAGGGGAAATAAAAGAGGGGAGACCCCAAAATTAATCCTTTCTTTTCTGTGTCTCCTCTCTCTCCTTCTCCTTCTCTCTCTTTCTCTCTCTCTCTCTCCCCCTCTCCCTCCCTCCCTCCTTCCCTCTCTCTTTCTTCTCCCTGTCTCACCTCCCCTCTCCCTCTGCTCCTTCCTCCAGCCTTAGCAGAACTTATGTGGCTGGGATGCGGGGCTCTCGGGTGTCAAAACTTTGAAGATTAATGGATTACTTTGTTAATGACTGCAGGCGTCAGACTGAGGTGCTTAAATGATTTGTGAGGTGCGAGGCGTCTTCCCGACAGTCCCAAACAATGCGCGGAGTGTGCGGGGGAGGCAGAGGGCAGCCGCCGGCGGGCCCGGCAGCAGGGCTCGCACTCGCACTCCACACACTCCCGGGCGCACACACAGCAGATCTATGCTGATCGGGAGGCAGGCAGGCACCCTCGCCCCCACGCACTCCCGGGCATCCCCACCCACACCCACATCTATGTATTTTTGCCATGAAAAAAGTGTAAATAAAGCCTCGCTGGCCCCCAATGAGGCGTTCCTTCCCGACTTTTTTGGATCAATCAAACAGACAGTGGCTTCTTTTGATTAAAGCCCAAATTGTCATTGGGCAGAAGCAATCATGTGACAGCCAATTCGGTCCAATTTCAACCTTGTCTCCATGAATTCAATAGTTTAATAGTAGCGCGGTCCCCATACGGCTGTAATCAGTGAATTAGAAAAAAAACACCCCAGCAGCGATCTTCTATGATAGATTTTTTTCCCTCTGCTCTCGCCTTTTTCCTGGGCCTTGCCCCCCCAAAGCCCCTCCAGAAGAGGGAACTTTTTCTCCGAGGGGGCTCCAAGGAGAAGGCCATGAATTACGAATTTGAGCGAGAGATTGGTTTTATCAATAGCCAGCCGTCGCTCGCTGAGTGCCTGACATCTTTTCCCCCTGTCGCTGATACATTTCAAAGTTCATCAATCAAGACCTCGACGCTTTCACACTCGACACTGATTCCTCCTCCTTTTGAGCAGACCATTCCCAGCCTGAACCCGGGCAGCCACCCTCGCCACGGCGCTGGCGGCCGCCCCAAGCCGAGCCCCGCGGGCAGCCGCGGCAGCCCAGTGCCCGCCGGCGCCCTGCAGCCGCCCGAGTACCCCTGGATGAAGGAGAAGAAGGCGGCCAAGAAGACCGCGCTGCCGCCTGCCTCGGCCGCCGCCGCCGCCGCCGCCGCCGCCGCCACCGGCCCTGCCTGCCTCGGCCACAAAGGTCAGTCCAAAGACTTGGCCCCAGGTCCCGGGACCCTTTTCCCCCTTCTGGGCTGCCCGGGGAGCGGCTATGGGGGAGGGGAGCGTGGGCTGGGAGAGAAGGGGGAGAGAGGGAGAGATGCTTGGCTGCCTTCCCTTGCCCTGTGGGCTCAGGAGTGGGTGTGCTGGAGAGAAAAGGGATCCTGCGCTGCACAATGAGACACACATATATTTTTAAGAAGAGGGGGGGAAAACTTTCCCTAACTTGTGTAATGTGGGATGATTTATTTGAGTTGGAACTGACCTCCTCTTGTCTAGTTGTCCTAGAGTTTGGCTTTTTGACAGTAATGAAGAGTGATAGATCGCTCTTGCTCAGCTAAGCAGCTGATGCATTAATTATAAATTGTGGTGTGGCTAATATAAAGTTTGCTCCCGGATGGAGAGGTTGGGGGGAGCCACAGGCAGCAATTTGATGGAGGTGGAAGAGATGGGGTCTCCCCGGGCTGGGCTCCCAGGAAAGGCACAATAGCGCTACTGCATCCAGGGCGGCCATTTTGTTGCAGTTGATCTTTTCTGCTGTATTTATTCTCCAGTGGAATAACCCCGCTCGAACCCCTCCACCTCCAACTGTGCGTGTGTCTCTTGTTGGTTTCCCTTTCCGCAGAATCCCTGGAAATCGCCGATGGCAGCGGCGGGGGCTCGCGGCGCCTGAGAACTGCTTACACCAACACGCAGCTTTTAGAGCTGGAAAAAGAATTTCATTTCAACAAGTACCTTTGCAGACCCCGAAGGGTGGAAATTGCAGCGCTGCTGGATTTGACTGAGAGACAAGTGAAAGTGTGGTTTCAGAACCGGAGGATGAAGCACAAGAGGCAGACCCAGTGCAAGGAGAACCAAAACAGCGAAGGGAAATTTAAAAGCCTCGAAGACTCTGAGAAAGTGGAGGAGGATGAGGAAGAGAAGTCGCTCTTTGAGCAAGCCCTCAGCGTCTCCGGGGCCCTTCTGGAGAGGGAAGGTTACACTTTTCAGCAAAATGCCCTCTCTCAGCAGCAGGCTCCCAATGGACACAATGGCGACTCCCAAAGTTTCCCAGTTTCGCCTTTAACCAGCAATGAGAAAAATCTGAAACATTTTCAGCACCAGTCACCCACTGTTTCTAACTGCTTGCCAACAATGGGCCAGAACTGTGGCTCTGGCCTAAACAATGACAGTCCCGAGGCCCTCGAGGTCCCCTCTTTGCAGGACTTTAACGTCTTTTGCACAGATTCCTGCCTGCAGCTTTCAGACGCAGTCTCGCCCAGTTTGCCAGGGTCCCTCGACAGCCCCGTAGATATTTCAGCTGACAGCTTTGACTTTTTTACAGACACACTCACCACAATCGACTTGCAGCATCTGAATTACTAAAAACATTAAAGCAAAACAAAGCATCACAAAACAAAAACCCCTTTGACCAGGTGGTTTGGCCTTCTTTTATTCCGAGAGTTGATTTTTCTTTTCTTTTCTTCTTGACCTACCCTGTCTCTCCTCTAAATGTGGAAGATTTTCTGTTTAGTGGTTCTCCTGATCCAGTTTGAGCCATCTTTTCCAGATTATTTTGGAGTTTTAGTTGTTCTGAATCGAATCCAACGACCCTCTCTATGTGATTTCCTGAAAGCAATATAGGAGGCCTGCAAGAAAGTGATCATATAATTGTATCTTCACTTTCTTTTTATTTTTGTATTACATTAGGATGCATTGTCATGAGTATTTTTGGTAGAATAAATTCTCCTTTGCTATAAGTAGCTTTCTTATTTTTTTTTCTCCCCCCTCTTTCTCAAGGCTCATAACAGTTTCTTTTCCCTCTTTTAGTCTAATTTGGTAAATAAAATTCTGGTCACAATTCATCTTCTTTTTTAATTTTAATATATTTATTAAGGGGGCATGTTCAAAGTCTTCAAATAGACAACAACAAAAAAGAAAGCCAGAAAATGGTTAGGACTTCTGAGAAGTGTTCTTTTTCTTTTTTTCTTTCTTTCTTTTTAAAGGGAATGGATTTGGTTTTTCAGTGTAGAGGTTCAAGCCATAGATTTAAATTGGTAATAGAAACAGGATTGGGCAGCCTCAGAGTTGGGCCAAACCCAAGCTTTTGAAAGTGGAGAAATAAAGTGCCTACAGAAACCCCCAACTCCAGGAAGGAGGAACATGGAGTTTCTTTAACAAGCTACCAGTCTTCGGGTCAATAACTAAGTTATCAACAATTCATTTATTTATACACATTTGTTTCAAACATCTACATTCCAACCCCTCCCCCACAATCCCGGAAACATTTTCAGTGTGGTCGATTAGTCTCCCAGCTGTTGATGGGTCGAGGCAAACAGACCTAAAAGGTAGAGAAAAACAAAAACAAAACAAAACAATGGTTACTAGCTGGAAAATGCACTTCAGAAAGGGTTCTTTCCAATCCTCTGGTTCAGTCATTCTAGGATTCTTTCTTCAGGGTCAGAAAAATCAATATTTCATTCTTAAATCTGTTTACATGGCAAATAATGGATCATTAAAGCTGTGAAGTCAGGTTACCAAGTTGAGACTTAAATTGGAGAGTTTGTGCGCCCTAGGTTATAAATTAACCCAGTTTCTAGAGAGGGAAAGAGAAAAAGCACTTTAAATGAAATACCAATAAAATGTGATCCAGGGCACGTTACTGGGTTGTTCTGATTTTTTCCCCCCTTCTTTCATCTCCCCATGCTGATTTTTCCCTTACTGAGCTCTGCTACTTACTTACCGTGAGAAAACGCAGCGTGTAAGCAACATGTGTGGGGGGCGGGTTGATTTAGGAACCCGGCTCTTAAAAGCTAAGGCTTGGAAGTTACAATGAAATCGCGATCTTTCTCTATGGGTTTGCACCCTACCTTCCTCCACCCTTTTGCCCCCGAAATCCTGGCAGCGGCGGAGGCGTGTGAGGACCCCGGTGAGTCTCCAGCCCCAGGCGCAGAGCTGAGCAGGGCGGCCCCGCCGCAGCCAGGGCTGAGCCGCTGCTGTTTGAGATTCGTCCTACGCTCATAAATCAAACGCTTTCTATGAATGAGAATGTCATCAAAGAGATCAATTGCAGGAACACATGCACAAATAAAAATCCTCTTACGTATTTGCCGGGGATCCCCGTCCGAAAGCATTAAGTTAGAAGGCGTTTAGTCATAATTCATTTTTATTGCTCTTTTAAAACAACAGCTTGGCTGAGCCGCGGATGCCATGAACAGCTCCGGGCCTCCGCGGCGTTTTGTCTCCTCCTTGCTCCTTCCCTTTCTAGTAGAAGAGCCCTGAAAGAGGCGTTTTGAGCCCAGCAAGTGGCTTGCAGGCCATCATTTAACTAGTGACCAAGCTCTCCTTTCGCCCACTCTCCCAGGGCATTTAAAGAGACTTTAGCTCGAGTCCTGGGGCGCTGGCCTACACGCTCAGAAAACCAGGGTCTTCTACACGGCGGAACGAGCCCCAGGATTTCGTGGGGGTGGGGAAAGAACGGAGCTACGGAAGCCTTACGGGCTCGAGGCCAGAGGAGACCGCCTTTGTAAGCAACACCGGGAGAGCGGCGCTCTGGGCGGCCAGCCGCGGCGGAGCGGGCTCGGCTGCGAGCGTCCGGCCTGCTGGGAGCCGGGAGCGGTGCGCGGAGGTGGGTCGGTCTCGGGCGCGAGTGCTTGCGGGCTTAAGTGCAAGTGCATCCATGTGGTCCCAAGAAAAACACCCCCACCCGTGCTGGCTCTGGAATGAGGCCCGGAGGGAGGAAGACAAGTGGAAGGAGTGGAGCGCGGAGGCCGAGAACTAGCGGAGGAACAGAGCGGTTGCGGCCCGCGGCGGCTTTGTGGCTCAAGCCCTGCGGCCAAGGGGCTTGCGCAAACCCGGGCTGAAGAAGCCAACAAAGGGACAGGAATGAGACTAGGGGAAAGCAGACCGTCCGCAATGCCAGCCCGGACCTCCTCACGTCCTGCCTCCTCCCCGACAGGAGCCCCTTCTCTCCCCATCGTTGGAAGCCTGGAGCTCCTAAGGAAGCCGCCTCCAGGAGGACCGCCTTTCCTTTTCCCATCTCGAAGATGAACGTCCCCAGGTGCTGAAATTGGGGCAGGAGTGACTTTTCCTGTCTGTGCTCTCTCTTAACCGCGGTTGGGGATGGGTCAAAGGTCACAGAAAAATACCATTTCAAAAGAAAATGTTTGGGGGAAAATGTTTCTTTGCTACTGAGGGAATCCGTAGTCAAATGTCTGCAAGAGTTTCCCCTCATGGGGGGGGGAGGGGGCAGGTTGGGGGGGGGAGGGAAACTTCTATATGTGGAGAACAGAATGCAGAAACCTGAGAGGTGACTAACACATTTGAAATGTGCCTGCCTCAAGCAAAACTTCCTTCTTCTAACTGGGGAGGGAAAGCTAGAGGGGAGTGGGAACCCCATCCTCAGATAAATTTTATCTGTCCGATTCCGGTGTGGTAAACAGGGTCAGGGAAAAATCTATACTGCACTGGCTGCAAAAGCTTCTTGGATGATCTCTGGATTTCTTTTACCTAAGAATGCATCAATTCTCGGTCTCAGTTTGGCATTTTTCTCTCTACAAGCCAAGGGTTGACACGAAACCTAATAGTAAACAGCAATTAACGACCCCGTCAGCATCAGGGTAGGATGAGGGTGATGGAGAACAGGACCCCTGGCCTGGGATGACGCTCAGATTTGCACGTGTCTCTCTAGGGAAAGACTTGAAGGTTCACACAAGGAACTACACAGTCAGTTACAAAGGGGAGGAGGTGTTGTTGGGGAAGAAGAAAATATCCCGTCCACCATCAGCCATCTGTCCACCGCCCCTCCCACCTGCCAGCCCCTACCCACTTCAGACGTGCAGTAGAATGGCGGGGGGGGGGGGGGGTAGTGGATAAAGGAAGCTCTACCACTCCTAACATCCCCCTCCAGAAAACGAGCACCATTGCGGGGGGAGTCCAGCGTATTTTGCTGGCGCTGTGGTCTCGCCCTTTGAGGCCCCTGCCGGAGCGCGCAGACTCCTGGGTCCCGGGGAGCCGGCAGATGGCCTGCAGCGCACCGCCCGGCCCCCACGCTAGCCACGTCCGCTAGCGTCATCTTTCTCCCCCGCCTCCTACCCTTCAAAATCTAGCGGCCGAGCTGCTCGGGATCCCGTAGGGCTCCCGGAGCAAAGCTGAGTGGGGAGGAGAAAGGGGCGGAGAGCGAGGAGAGAGGGAGGGCGAAGAGCCCGGCCACCCCCGGCCTTTTCCGGCAAGCTTAACTACTACCAATCACCCGCACCCGGGCGTCGAATTACAGAAGCTCCTCATTGCCTTGCTAATAATCAGTTGGGGTGGAGGGAGTAGGGTTCGGAGACCCTCCTTGGAGAAGGGAAGTTTTTTTTTTTTTTTTTTTTCCTTGCTCCTGTCCCCTCCACGCCCACCCGGAGTCCTCCAGGCCAATCCTCTGCGCACTTCCCTCTCCCTTCGGAGCTTGGAGAGCTGGTGGCCTGGCCTCGTCCTACGCCACTATCCCCTGCGCTCCTCACTGCCCCGACCCCACCGCAGGGACTGTGTAGTAAAAGCGCCCGGGGAGCTACCCTTCCTGCTCCGCGCACTACGGGCTCGGCCCCTGATCTAGTGGCAGGCCGGGGAGCTCTGGCCCACTGATTCCCGACCCAAGAGAGACGGAGCCCTCTTCCCTTCTCACCTCTTGCCAGTTCATCTTTCTGTGCGCGGTGCGGAAGGGGCGGAGACGGGGATGCCTCCCAGCCCCCACCTCCCGGAGGGGGGGGAGAGCGGAGACGGCGCGCGCAGAAGGTGGCTTCTGCTCCCCTTCGGCCCAGCGCTCCGAATCTGCCCTTGCAGCCGCCGCAGCTGCTGCCGCCGCCTGGGCTGCCTGGGGGGGCGACTGCGCGTCACCTAGACTGAGGAGCGCCGGGGATTTAAATGCCACTGAAACGGTGATCCATCACCGCGGGAGCCAGCAAACTTTCGCAGGAGGCTCCGCCATTGGCTGACATAGTCACGTGCCCCTCCCCCGGCGCCCTCCGCCCTCGCGCCCCCCCTCTTGCGCACTGTACATTCATATCATTTTTCTTCTCCGGCCCCATGGAGGAAGTGAGAAAGTTGGCACGGTCACCCAGGGCTTCGCAGGACCCGGTCCCTCAGTGACAGATGGACAATGCAAGAATGAACTCCTTCCTGGAATACCCCATCCTCAGCGGTGGCGACTCAGGGACCTGCTCAGCGCGAGCCTACCCTTCCGACCATGGAATTACAACTTTCCAGTCGTGCGCGGTCAGTGCTAACAGCTGTGGCGGCGACGACCGCTTCCTAGTGGGCAGGGGGGTGCAGATCAGCCCACCCCACCACCACCACCATCACCACCCCCAACCGGCCACCTACCAGACTCCCGGGAACCTGGGGGTGTCCTACTCCCATTCGAGTTGTGGTCCAAGCTATGGCGCGCAGAACTTCGGCGCGCCTTACAGCCCTTACGCGTTAAATCAGGAAGCAGAAGTAAGTGGTGGGTACCCCTCGTGCGCTCCCGCAGTTTACTCTGGAAATCTCTCATCTCCCATGGTCCAGCATCACCACCACCACCAGGGTTATGCTGGGGGCGCGGTGGGCTCGCCTCAGTACATTCACCACTCATATGGACAAGAGCACCAGAGCCTGGCCCTGGCCACGTATAATAACTCCTTGTCCCCTCTCCACGCCAGCCACCAAGAAGCCTGTCGCTCCCCTACATCAGAGACGTCTTCTCCAGCGCAGACCTTTGACTGGATGAAAGTCAAAAGAAACCCTCCCAAAACAGGTCAGTCTTGCCATTCCTTGGATATTCCTTGATGGTTCTGGAAGGAGCTTGTTTGCTTAGTTGCCAAGGAAAATTAATACTTTTTTTTCTTTAAAGTTCTTGCTTCCCACTGGTGTTGTTGAGTGTGGAGAGATTGTCCAGGTGTGTGGGGCAAAGGAGCATATGGGACTGTTGTGTTTTCCAAAGGGCTGAGTTTTAGAGGTTCTGGAATAGGAAGTGGGTAGGGTTGTGGTGTGTGTGTGTGTGTGTGTGTGTGTGTGTGTGTGTGTGTGTGGTGGGGTGGTTCTGTTAATATCTCCAGGCTCCATTAATCACGGGTCTGACCATTCTAATGGTTGACTTCAGATTAACACTTTACACCTCATCAGTCACCTTTCCCAGCCTAGTTTCTGTTGAGAAATTCTTGATCTCCCCTCCCCTCTACCTGAATGTTGCTCTGAAGCGTGTAGGGGCTCTCATATGGATTGTAAAAATTTTTCTTTCTCTCTCATCGCTCCCCACCATGCCCCCAGGGAAAGTTGGAGAGTATGGCTACGTGGGTCAACCCAATGCAGTGCGCACCAACTTCACCACGAAGCAGCTCACTGAGCTGGAAAAGGAGTTCCACTTCAATAAGTACCTGACGCGCGCCCGCAGGGTGGAGATTGCCGCATCCCTGCAGCTCAATGAGACCCAAGTGAAGATCTGGTTCCAGAACCGCCGGATGAAGCAGAAGAAACGAGAGAAGGAGGGCCTCTTGCCCATCTCTCCTGCCACCCCGCCAGGAAGTGAGGAGAAGGCTGAGGAATCTTCAGAGAAGTCCAGCTCTTCGCCCTGCATTCCTTCCCCAGGGTCTTCTACCTCAGACACTCTGACTACCTCCCACTGAGGCCCACCCAGCCCCAAGACTCCACAGCCCAGGCTACTCTGAGGGCTGGGGACTCCCTACCCAAAGCACATTCTTAGCTTATCTTCCTTTCCATTTACAGTCTCTCTCTTCCTTTCTGATCCTATCTGGGGAGCTCCTGGCCAGGATAAGGTGTTTCCAGAGAATTCTAGATTAGAGGCTTGATTGGTGTGTGTGTGCTAACTCCTTGATGCAGATTAGGTGCCATAATCAATTTTCTGATGGCCCCCAACACCCCTCCCTACTTTTAGGAGATTTCCACAGAATCTGTTCCTTTCAGATGTCCTTTGGAATATAGTCTCCTTTGCCAGCAGAAGCACGTCAGAGGGAGGCCTATCCTTTACCTGTCTGTGTATTTACAGTTCTCCCCTACTTTGCCCTTAAAGTGGGATAGAGAGAAAGGAGAGTCCAGGAGCTCATAAAGAAGAGATGCACTATGAGCGTGTTTACACAATTAAATCATCCCTTAATTTAATTCAATTTCATGTGTGTGTTTGCTGGTTGTAAATACTTTGTCCTGAGAGATTTATCTTTATACAGATTTTCTAGAAATGTTTAGATTAAGTGACTAAAACAGGGTGGGTAACTCAAACTGGTACAATTTTATATGTGATTATGGGTTAAAGAATAAAATTGCTCACTTAAACTCGGTCAGATGCCTCAGAGGGTAGCCTGCATTTGCTCTTTCAATGAGTTAAGAAGGCCTGCAGAACACAAGGTTCAAAACCTTGCTTCCTGTGCTAAGTCTCTCCCCATCCCCACCTGTTTATTGTTTCACTGGCCACACTATTTGAAATTTGTGCTGGATTATTCAGAACCTAAAGGTATTATTCAAACCAGCTTCTTCCTTCCACAGTTATCTTAGCTGGATATGATGTATTTTCAGCTCAATTGTTAATGTGATGGATGGCACAATGAATGTATATTTTGTGTGATTCGTGAATAGTCTTTTGCATGTCGCACAATGTTTTGATGTCCCTGAAGTACCACACTGAGTTATATCAGTTATTCTTTGTGAGCCTATGATATTCCCCCTTTCCTGTACAATCATGAACAGCTCTGAGATCCTGGAGTGATGTGATCCAGAGCAGAGTTTACGGGTCTTAAGATGTCTGTAGTAAATATATTCAAGTTTCACATAAGCTTAAGCATCCCTGTATTTGGCTTGGCTACAATTTGTTGGCTTATTTCACGTGGGGAGGAGGGAAGGATGATGTGTACTTTCAGAGGTGGGCCTTTTCTTGAAAAAAGTAAATGCTTTCCATTATGTAGCTGAAACTTCCCCTATGAGTGTCATAGCACCTAGCTGCTGCCTATTTAATAGGCTGATTTTCTTTAAAATAACAATAGTTCCTTTATTACAATCCAAGTTCATAATGGAAAAAAATGAATGGTGAAGAAATTTATGAAGCAGATCTATTTTTGAAACAAACATGAATACTTCCTGGGTCAAGTGCTAACCTTTTCACCTCCCACTGAATGTTGACGTATATATAAACAGAACCCCCTTCAAAAGCCCAAACTCTTCAGTCCGTCTTTCCTCACATCAGTGAACCAAGAGCTAAGAGATTCACATTTAATGAGCTCCAGTATAAAGCTGTTTGAGGACAAGACCTCCACCTCACCCCTCTTCTTTTTCGGCTTGTCAAGCAGTGTTCCGGTATAGTCCACCCTTTAAACTGAGTATGGTCTATTTTCAGTAAACCCGCTGTATCTCTCCTCCCATCCCTCCTGTCAGTGTCCGTCCCTTCCTGCCACGCTATACACGTTCTCCTGCCCACCCCCTCTGGGTTACACATCTCATTCCCATCAGATTCGGCTTGGATTTCATAGCCAGCATGGCTGTCATGGGTCTGCTCTAATCCATGACCCAGTTCTAATCCCCTAACCCAGAAAAAAAGTTTTTGTTTTCTTCTCTGGGCTCAACAGATTCTTCCAGGTGACCTTTTGAAAGCTGCCCTGAAGTCTTTCGATATTCAAGTTGCTTCCAACCGAGGCAAGTGTCTGCTCTCGAACAGAGGAAGCCAGCAAATCAAAGTGTTCAAAATGGCTCTCCCCCCAGACCTCTTACCACTTTTCCTTTACCTTCGCACATTTTCAGAGGCTTTAATTTAGCCCCAAGGGTAGAGGAGAAATACAGCATCACAAATAGAGGCATATGACTTCCTTCCTCTCCAAAGGCTGTTTTACAAAGGATGGGCTGGCAGTGGGAGGAGAAATCCTACAAAAACTTGGAATTTGCAGGCCTCCTAGAGCACCCAGGAGATTTCCTGTACTTCCCTGTCAAAGGGGGCAAGCCTGGACTTTGCAGGCACAGTTGCTGCGGCCATATCAAGGGCACCCGCTGCCCTCCCCTTGGCTCTGGGATCCTGGGCTCTGGGATTGCCTCTAAAAGACTCAAGTGGATGGAGGAGAACTTCAAAGTCGGCCAACTCTTTCTTTCATTTCCCACCCTGACCTTATACAGTATCTTTTGTTTATTAGTGTAAGGCCACACAGCAAAACAGATGGCTGGTTTCCAAATTCTTTAATGTGTTAAAGTGTCATTTGCATGCCACTGCCGTAATTTCAATATCTAAAAGCAGGGCCGGACCCGCTGGAATCCTGGAGATTCCAGTCTTCAAGGTGCTGGTTTTAATGTAGCTGAGAGAGAGGAGAACAATTAATTATGGCTAAACATCCAAAGCCTTCTCTAGGTCGTGGAATAAATCAGTTAACAAGCAATGCATTTAGGAAACATTAATATACCTTTCAACAAGGAAAACATTTGTATCTTTTTAGTTGCCCCAATCGATTAAATCAGAGGCACTTACCACATCCTATTTCTAGGTCTCTCTTTTTCCGTTTTGGTCCCTGAGGAGCATGGTTAGCTCCCTGAAGATGACAGCAATGGTGACTGAAACAACAAAAGACGGAAAACAGAAAATAGCATTTTATTGATAAATTTCAAAAGGACAAGAGCCTCAATTAGGGACTTGGGATAATTATACAACAAAATTCCAGTTTTCAAACACTTTCTCCTCACTTCCTTCACACTCATTCAAAGTACTCCTGAAATTCAGGGTGTCCCCAACTTAAGGGTGAGTTGAGATCTTGCTCTGAAGTCTGCTCTTGGCTTCACCTTTGAAAGTTTACTTTTGGAGGCTATTCAGATGCCATGGTGTTTTCCTCTGGGGCAATCAGATTCAAACCGATCAATATTTACTCAGTCTGAAAGGGTTGTTGAAAAGGCTGCTAACAACAAACTGCTTAGCTGCTCACCCCTGTTTAATCTCAGGTTCACTGAAAGTTCAAGAAGAGATGAATGCAGTGATGGGTCACTTTAGAATGAGTCCCAGCGCTTTATCTGAGCTCTCTGCTAAAGGCAACAATTATAGTTCCATCCCTCTTTGGGAAAGGGGCAACTTTCCTATTATTCTTTTGCTAAACAGTGTTTACTAGAAACTTAAAACACTTTCCTCTCCCTTCCTGGCTTTTTTTTTTTTTTTTTTTTTGGAGGTGGGGAGAGGAGCTTCCAGCTGCCCTTCCCCAGCCTCTCTCCTTCTCTAGCTTTCTGCCAATCCACTAGGTTTCATTTGACTTAAAATAAATTACATTGAATATTTTTAAAATGTTAAATTAGCCTGACAGAAGAGATCCGATTTATTTCAGATGCCAAGAGCTATGAAATGAGGCTCTTCGGGCTGTTAGAGCTTATCTTCCTTGCGAAAGTACAGGGCAAGATTGAATTGAAATCCATTTGCGTTTGAGTAATACCGACAATCAGAGCCCCAATATCCATCTGAGATGACTTTTTAGACAGGAGGTGAGAGGAGGAAGGGGTAATTCGCTCGTGCAAAAGCAAGTACCTCAGGTAGAAAGTCAACTTTAAAATTTTATACTCTCCTAGTGCATAGACTATTGAGATGAGAAAGGAAGACCCAAGGAAGCCAGTTGGGAATGATGGGAGAAGATGCTGGCCACTGAAGCTAATTGCTACAGCTCTTCAGAGGTCAAAGTTCATGTAATCACTGCATAAATGCATACTAAATAGGGATTTATTAAGCTTTTCTGATGGCTGAGCACGTCTGTGGGAAAAAAAAAAAACAACGGTCACTGCTGTTTGTGCTTCTTCCCAAAGAATAATCATTCTAGCAGTAGAAGCTCTTGGAGTCTGGGTCTTTAATTTACTGTTTTGAATGACAGGATACCCTTCTGTTTTTAAAATTTTGAAATCAATGCATGGACAACATCTTAATTTTGGATGGGATTGTAAAATAACTCTCTCACTCTTAGAAATGCTATGATTTTTTTCAATATACACACAAGAATACAAGTTAGTTCGTCCTTATCAGAGAAGCTACTCATTAGATGGCTAACTTTGGTGACCTTCTGCTCCAGATAAGCCTACTTTTGCCTGCATTTCTGATAGCACACAAAAGTTCTGTCTTAGGACTTCTTGTGCCTAGATGATCAAAACTGAAAGGGACCCATGTACCCAACCTCTCATTTTATGAATCAGAAAGATAAGGTGCCCAGAGGTAGACTGATTTGACTTAGTATTATTACCCTTACTTCCTAAATAAAAATCAGGGTAGTTTATATTCTGAGGCCAGTGTACTTCTTGATTCAAAATTCCTGATTTGATTTTGCCCCTTCCCATTTATTCTATGTGATTTGTTTCAGGCTAGATATAGTTCACAGTTTTCCACTTCTGGTTTACTAGCCATCCACTAAGTCCTTGATTTGGAAGCCATCAAGATTACGTGAATCTTTGAAATAACCTTCCAGTTGAATGTTTCTGCCATCTTGCTTGAAGGTTAAAATATTGGGCTGCTTGCTGTTAAAGACAAACGTTCTTAAGATATAAAAATACAACAGGTAAAATTCAACACACATATTTTATTTGTTGTTGTTGTTTTTGAACCTAGACTAGGGAAGAATAAATGAAAGAGGAGTTGCCTGTGCCCAAGTTCAAGCTCCATTAAATTGTCAGTATCAGCTAGAAAGGGCTTAGAGAGCAGCTAAAAAGGGCTTAGAGATGCAAGGAACATTCCAGGAGGGGTCTTAATCCTAAATCTTTTTCTGTGTTTGTTTCTGTTTGGTTTATGACATAGCATAGCCTCCGGAACTGTTCTGGTCCATATTTCTCAGTTTTCTTCACGACTCACTCATGTACCAAATACACATACAATTTAACAAAATTTCCTTGCAACACAACTTTCCACATTTTCCTTCCTTGGTGGGGTCCTACTGATCTCAGCAGAACCTGCTGCCCAAAGGGACACCTATGGCTGTCAGTGGAATCCCCAGCGTTTTAGAGCCTTCAAATGCAGCTAAACTTCGATTGCAGAACAGCAAAGCAAATATCAATCAAGCAATTCTGGTAGAGCCTAGCCTATGAACCTCCCCCCACCCAATCTCAAACCCCAATTACGCCCTGTAAAATAGTCTGGAAAGACTGCATTTTGGGTTTATTGGAAACAAATGAAAAGACCGACGTTTCTTTTTCTCAACATTTCCAGACACAACAAAAATACGTGTCTCCATTTTTTTTTTTAAACAGCCCATTAAATTTTTTTCCTATCCAAAAATGTGGTGGAAAACGTCCAGTCACAAGCCTAATCTATAGAAATCAGATTGTTTTTGCGTTTTCATTTCAGGCTTGGGCGTTCAGGGGAAAAATACGCGACGGCTTGCAACAGAAAAAAAAGCAAAAATTTATTGATTTTTTTTTTTTTTTCTTTTTAAACTGGGATACTTTTTAGGCGCCCTGGCCATTTAAGCCTGCTTCCTTTTGCAAGAAAAATCGCCGCAGAACCACAGCGAGAATGCAGAAAGCCACGATTGAAACGAGCAGGGGCCCTCCTCCCTCCCCGCCAAATATCGGCGATACGGTTCCGGGAATCTGCGCATTCATTCTGAGGAACAAATGAGGTCCTCTCCTCAGGACGCGCCGGGGCAGCTGCCGGAGGCTCGGCTCCGGCGATCGCTCGCGGGGCAGCGCTGCGTCGTCCCGGGCGCCCACGGGAGCTCCTGCCGCGGGGAGAGGCCGTCGGGTCCTCGGCGCCCCGCAGCGCTGGAGCGGGGCCCCGCCACCGAGGAGAAGACGGCTTTTGCCTTCCTTAGCTTCCCGCCTCCTCTCTCCGAACTCTTCGGCAAACGCCGCCGCTCCCTTCCCGTCCCGCGCGGGCCCCACGCAGCGCGGGGCGGAAGCAGCATCCGGGCCCTTGGCGGGTGTGCGGGCGGCGCGGCGCGGCCGGCCTGGGGCCTGCGCGCTTCCCGGCCGCGGCGGGGGGCGGGCTGGCTGTGAAGCGAGCGTGGGTCGGGGCACCTTGCGGGAGGCTGCGAAGAGCCCCGCTTTGTCTCGGGGGGCCACTAGGCCTCCCGTTCCCTCGTTCTTTCCCCGCCAGCATCGCCTTGCTTCCAGGTGCTCCGGGACGCGGCCGGAGCTGAGAGGTGCGGCCTCAGATGCCTCAGGCGGCGGCCTGACTCCTCCTGGTGGGGGGCTCCGGGCTTCCATTCCCAAGAGCCCTGGATGAGGGACCGAACATCTCTTCCCCAGGAGGGGAAACCCAGGTCGGAAGCCTAGTCCCCCTAGTTCATCTTTTAAGATGTGAAAGCGGGAGGGAGATTTTACATCCTGCTGGCTTCCTCCTCCCAGCTATTTCCAAAATATATTTAATTGAGCAACATACTCATTCTCCTTCTAGTTCAAGTTAGATGTTTTGAAGGGTCGAGGTGGGGATTGCAGGAGTGATGAGAAGTTTCTAAACACTGATGTTCCTAGAGCGACTAGTGCTTCTCTAGTCAAGGGAACTCCTTGCTTCTCAAATGTCCTCTCCTTTCAGTTGCAGAGTCAAACGGCGCCTTGCCGCCTCAAGTCTCACTTCTTTCTAGAAAGTTTCCCGCCCTGCTTCCCACTCTTTGAGCTGAGCCCCTCGTCAGAACACCTTTTACACAGCAAGCTTTGTTCCGCAGCACCTAACTGGGATTGTGAACTAGACTATCCATTTGTGTTGGTCTTGGCTCCCCAAATGGATCTTTTTTTTTTTTTTTTTTAAGATTTTATTTATTTATTTGACAGAGACACAGCAAGAGAGGGAACACAAGCAGGGAGAGTGGGAGAGGGAGAAGCAGGCTTCCCGCGGAGCAGGGAGCCCGATGTGGGGCTCGATCCCAGGACCCTGGGACCATGACCTGAGCCGAAGGCAGACGCTTAAGAACTGAGCCACCCAGGCGCCCCATCCCCAATGGATCTTAAGCTTCCTGAGGGCAGGGCCCTCGACGACTTCCGGCAACCTGAAGAGCCGGTCCCTTTAGAAAGAGCTCTGGACAGGAATTCAGGACACCTGTGTTCAGTCTTTCCTCATTCACAGTATGGGTTCGGGCAGAACTCTTAACCTTTCTATACTTTCAGATCCTTAAGTTATAAAATAAGGTGATTGTTCTTATTGGCTTTTAAGTAATTCTCTAAAATTTATGTGGTTTTTCAGTATCCTGAAAATCTGGTATTTATTTAGGTTTACTCTGAGCCAAACCCTATGTCAAATACTATACATACATTAACTCATTTAATTCTTACTCAGCCCCAAGAAAGAGATATTTTTATTATTTTGATTTTACAGCTAAGGAAATGGAGGGGTCCAAGATGTTAAGTAACTTGTCTACTGAATCCAGAGCCCAGACTCTTTCTTATCCACTGAACTATAGTGCTTCTCCACAGGGCCAACCACATACATCCTTTACAGAGAGTTATCAGGCTATCTTTGTTTGACCCGGGCACTATAGTGGGTAATTGCTCATTGGTAAAGAATTAGAGAGCTGGAGAAACTGATTTTAATATCAGGCATGTATGCAAACTGTAGCTACACATTCTTGGGAAGATAAGAAAATGACAAATACTTGAATGAAAACAAAGCTAAAGAGAGAGATCAAATTTCACAATAAGTCAATGAGAAGACTAATTTAACAATAAGAGACTTTTTTTCATATCTGACACTGATTAAGAGAACAATTTGCAGGGAGAAGAAAGGCACCTTTTATACTCACAAGTTATGTCTGTGACATGCCTAACATGTGGATGAAAATGGAAATATTCGATATGAAATACAGATGTTTTGTCTCTATGAAAGCTAGCATCCACAGGATTGGAAACATTTGAATACACGATATTCCATCTCTCAGTTTTCATTTGGTCATTTTATATACTGCAAATCCAGTCACAATTCACATTTGAGGAAAAAGAGAAAAATTTACCTTCACTCAGAGTTTACAACTTAGCACCTCCTGGGGCACCCGGCTGGCTCAGAGGAGCATGGGACTCTTGATCTCGGGGTGGTGAGTTCAAGCCCCACGTTGGGTGTAGAGATTATTTAAGTAAATAAAACTTAAAAACAACTTAGCATTTCTTGACTGAGAATAATCAGAGGAATCAGGTTCAACAACTTGAAGGAATATATTATGAGGCCTAAAGAGAGCCAGTTTTTAAAAGCCAATTATTCCTAGTACTCTTATTACAGGAAGTGAGATTGAGTTGTATGGAGAAGAACATACTTTTCTCCTTCCTACTTTACTAACTTTCATAAGTGAACAAGGACTTGCCATTATTACAAACATTATAATGTTACTAATATTATTTAGTTATAGAATCACAGATCATCTAATCTGGTCTTTCTATTACAGGTGAAGAAACTGAGGCCCAGAGAGGTGCTAGCAGCAATAGTGGTAAGAAAAAATATTTGCTTATATCTTTAATATGCACTTAAGTGGATATTAAAAATGGCAGGCAAAATTAATCTCAGGATAGATATATTAATAACATCAATAATTAATTACTATATTAAGTATAGTAATCATAGTAATTAATTACACTAATAATTAAATACTGAAGATCTAAATGTTACTAAGAATAGGCAGATTTGAATAACTAGATATATGGCCAGAGGGGTTCTTCCTTCCTACTTACCTACATGAATCCTACAGAAAGGGTGGTTGTGCACATCCCTCTTATCCCATGGTTAAAGAGAAACGGGATGACCCATTTTATTTCTTCCATTTCAGAAATTATTTGTATGGTTTGACAGATGAGGCAGAGACAAAATCAAGAAGAAAACCAAGCTTCTTAATTGTCCTGACCAAGCCACTCAGATAGCATGTTAGCTCCCTGGTTCCTGCCTGATTCAGGCACCTTGGAACTTGAGGGCATCCTGGCTACACTGATATGTTCCCTATGGACCCTAAGGACTTAATTTGCAATTCATTATGTATATAAAAAATAATACCTCTACTAGAGAGATCCAGACTTTACCAAGTTGTGACAACTTATTTTGTATGTTAACATTTATTGATAGCTTTCTTTGTACCAGATGTTGAGCTAGGAGTCTTAGTGAATGATCTCAGTTTTTCTTCACGGTAGCCTTATGATGTGGGTTTTATTATCCCTATTTACAGATGGAGAAACTGAGGCTTAGGGAAGTTCTATAAGTTTCTCACCATTACATAATGAGTGGTTAATAAAGTTAAATTTGCAGCCTCTTACAGTTAATCCTCATGTGTTGGAACTTCATATCTTAAGAATGTGAGATAAAATTTTTTCCATTTCAAGCTAAAAAATAAAATGGGAGAGTGACATAATTCAGACTAACCTTAAATTTAACTTCAGCTTTAAAATGTTTGTATTTTCGGTGTTAGGGAATTTCTCACTGTGAGTCAGAGAAGGCCACATCATTGCTTTCTTGGAAGAGCCATCTGTTTTAGCACAGCCCTAGTGAAGGTGCTAGAGACGGCAGTATCGGGTCTAGTGCTTCGGCAGTTGGCACCATCAGGGTTCGGGGCAGAGGCAGCTGTCTCGCCTAAGCTTTCCATTGCTAAGCTTTCCATTGCTCTCGCCTGACTTTCAGTCTTCCTAGCAATTTTCTGAGCTACCTGTATGTTCCTGTTCCAGTTAAATCACCAATAGTCAGTTTCTGTTGCTTACAACTAAGAATCCTGATTCATGTGCCATGTGGTATACCAAATGACGGTGCTTTGAAATCTCTTTTCTTAAAAGACTTTATTTCTAAGTAGTCTCCGCTTCCAGTGTGGGGCTCGAACCCACAGCCCTGAGATCAAGAGTCACATACTCTACCAACTGAGGCAGCCAGGTGCCCCAAGGTGCTTTGAAATTTTTTAAGGCCAGTGGGCTGTTGTAGGAGGGAAGCTGGACTCTAATGTGGAAAGTATCTATATATGTAAGATGGGCCAGATAGCAGCTTCTTCAAATTCTATTTTCTCTTCTTCCCCAACTCTGGGCTCTTTTTTTTTTTTTTTTTTTAAGTTTTACTTATTTAAGTAATCTCTACACCCAATGTGGGGCTCGAACTCCTGACCCCAAGATCAGAAGTCACATACTCCTCTGACTAAGCCAGCCAGGCACCCCTGGGCTCTTTTAATGCACATCCTTTTTGCTTTGTTAAACCCAAACAAATATATTGGGGTGCCTGGCTGGCTTAGTCAGAGTCCGTTAAGTGCCCAACTCTTGATTTTGGCTCAGGTCATGATCTCAGGGTTGTGAGATCAGGGGCCCCACATCTGGCTCCTGACTCAGTGCTCCACAGGGGATCTGCTTGAGAGTCTCTGCCCCTCCCCCCTTAAAATAAATAAATAAATCTTTAAAAAATAAAAACCCTGAACAAATGTATTTAAAAAGCCAAAGATGGCCCTGTGCCCAATAAGAAAATGCAAATTATCTAATTGAGTTGTAGAACACAGCTTATTTTCTGTTTTATTTCACAGCTTTCCTATCTTATCATCTTGAGTAGTTATTCTTCTGAAGCTGACGCTTTATGTACAACAGGGGCTGACACTTGTTGATAACTTACATAGTGCAAGGCACTATGCTAAGCACTCTTGTGGATTAGCTGCTTTCAATCCTCTACACTATGAGGTGTAGGTAGGTACTATTAGAAGAGGAAACTAAGAGGAGAGGTCACTCAGAAAATGGCAAGGCTCACTCTTAAACCTAGCAGTCTGGCTTCTGAGCACTCATTCTTCAAAACATTGTATATACTCTTCCCCCAAAGTCATTTGACTGGTCCAACTTTGCTTTTTCTTACCTTTCCTCTTTCTCATTTTCTCTCTCTCCCTAGTTTTTTCTTTCTTAACTGAGGATGACTTGAAAGCATCCAGTCCAGTCCTTAATTGAGCTCTGTAACTGTGTGAGGGGACTGATTCCATATCTATCAGCTGCAGATGCCCTTGAGAGGCACCTATAGGTTTACTCTTCTGGCCCTACAAATTCCTTCTGGCTTCACCTTTTCCTGACCTCCACTATCCCTCTTCCCCCTCCCCTCCACATGGAACTTCTGTCTCATGACTTTGCTCCTTCGTTAGTTAAGACATTTATTCAGGGATGATGTAAAATTTTAGAGAGAGAAGGTACCACCCCTTTTCAAGGAGTTTATAAAGTATTATGAAGCATATAACCTATTACCTAATTTTTGTTATATTACATTATGTATTAATATTTTTATTATAATTTAGTTAGGCATTTAAGCTTTTAGGATTTTATTATGAAAGTCCTATAGAATGGGGGCACCTGGATGGCTCAGTTGGAAGAGCATGGGACTCTGGATCTCAGGGTCGTGAGTTTGAGCCCCACATTGGGTGTAGAGATTACTTAAAATAAATAAATAATTTTTTTTAAAAAGTCCTACAGAACAACTGAAGGTGACACTTCTTTCCCTCCAAAATGTGTAACTTGAGAATAAGTCTTTAGTTCTGGTTGGGGCAGTGATGAATGTATGATTTGGGTCGAATGCTAAGGTTTTATGATGACATTTGCTGGAGAAGACAAGGTGTCTGGTAAATCTTAACATAAACTATGTGCCCCCAGTTTGACTGTGAAAGGCAAGGGAATGGAAAGAGAAGAGAATAAGAATTATAGGAACTTGGCGCTTTTCAAGTATTTGTGAGTCAAAAAGGCTGAAAAAGGAGGATAAGATAGAGGGAAATGACCCTGGGGAGACCGTATTCTTAGGACAAAAGGAATCTAATTTTGGGTAAATTCTGCAGATGGAGTCTAAGGATGCTACCAAGTCAGACAGAGTTCTTATGGTTTCAAGGTGATCAGTTTTTCTAGATCCAGTGTTGGAATATGTGAGAGGTGAAGAAATTAAAAAAACAATACAAAACATACAGACAAACAAAAAACCCCAACTATGGTTTAGTTTTAGAAAGGAAAACAGAGTTAGGAACTACTGTAAAAGCAAAGATAACTTACCCATAATTTAATATGTCTGTGCAATTATACATGTACATGCATATATATCTCTTTAGGAAGAGCCTTTCCTTCTGATGCCACACTGCTCAGCTTGTTCATCTGCCTTCTTGAAATCCCTCCAAAGAACCATACTCTTTCTTCCCCAGGGAGTTTGAGACCTGGGATGAATCCCCCCTCTCCATTTTTTCCTAAGACCTTGAGGCCTTAGCTAAATGATGCTTCCTCAGAGAGGCCTTAACTTCCTACCCTCTTTGTTTCCTTTACACATGTACCACAGTTTGCAAATGTAGTTTTATATTTTTTGTCTCTCCTTCTCAACCTATATCTTGAGAGCTTTTCTGTCTATTCAATACTCCGCCCCTCCATACAGTTCCTGTTAGTAACTGCTAAATAGACATTGAATCAATGTTTATATTAATGAGGGTCTGGCTAGGCTGGTATAACAAAGAAATCTAAAAATACAGTGGCTTACGGGCACCTACTTGGCTCAGTCACTTAAGCATCCAACTCTTGATTTCGGTTCAGGTCATGATCTCAGGGTTGTGAGATCCACCTGGGGCTCCACGTTGGGCACGGAACCTGCTTAAGATTCTCTCTCCCTCTCCCACCCGCCCCTGCTCACTCTCTCTCTCTCTAAAAAAAAATAATAAAATATATACAATAACTTAAATATGGCTGAAGGTTAAATCTCTTGTATGTAAAATTTCAGAGGAAGGTGAGAGCCCAGACTGGTGGGGTGCCTTAGCACCACAAGGTCATTCCCAATCTGAGTTTCTTCTACTGCGCTGCTCTAGTATTCCTTAGGTCTTGCCTGCATGGTCAAATCTGGGCCACCTCCACATTCTCATTCTGTTTGTAGGAAGAGTATAGAATGAAAGTGGAGGGCAAGCAATTTCCTATAAAGCAAGTGACTTGTAAGTAGCACACCTCACTTCCATTCACATTCGTTGTGATAAACTTAGTCAGATGGACACACCTACTTGTAAATAATACCAGCAAATGCAGTCTCTGGGCGGGTAGCCATGAGCTGTCTAAAATGGAAGAAGGAGAGAATGAGAATTGGGGATTAACTAACCATCTGCCCTATTGTTGGGTCAATGCTTGTTGAAAGAATGAATATTCATTCTTATATTATCAGAGGTCGGAAAAACATAGGGGTTTGAGGGCTCTGTTTTAGAACTTCAAAAAATAGGGATGTGATAAAAAAATATTAGACACTGACTAAGATAGCATCAAATATGCTCAATGACACAACCTGTTCACCTGCAAATTTGGGGGCAAGGAAGGGTTAAGGATCAAGAAATTGAGCAAAGCATGTGCAGGGCAGCTCTGGGTATTGTGAGTACATACCTGGCTTTGTTAGAATTTGGATATAAAATCTCTGCCTTCAGCAAGCTTCCAGAAACAAGCCCTTAGCTAATAAGTCTAGCTTCCCTCCAATCCTCCCCTGGCAGGGAAGAAGCTA